CAGAGTCCTATCTTCAGAAGGTACTCCCTCCGTGCCCTGACAGGGGAGGGGACCAGCCACACCCCCCACTGGGCTGGACTCGACCCTGGACTGAGCCTACTGGCCACTCAGACACCTGCCTACCTGACCCACCTCTGCCCTCATCCCCCCTGCAGTTCAACAGCTTCGAACAGCTCTGCATCAACTTCACCAATGAGAAGCTGCAGCAGTTCTTCAACCACCACATGTTCGTGCTGGAGCAGGAGGAGTACAAGAAGGAGGGCATTGAGTGGGAGTTCATTGACTTTGGCATGGACCTGCAGGCCTGCATCGACCTCATTGAGAAGGTGCTGCCTCAGCCCATTGACTGTGTTCCCTTTCCCCACCAGCCCAGACAGCCTCATCCCTTCTACAACCAAGAAACTAGAGTCCCCAGAATCCCAAGCCTCTCTTCAGGGCCAGCTTCCACCCACTATGGGGTCACAGGCATATACAAGACAAGCCCCTTCCTTCTGTTCCCAGGACCTTGTCCTCACAGTGGTCACATCTGTGTCTTAAGAGGGGGATGTAGTGAATGAGGACTCCTGGCCCTTCTGACACTCCATGGAAAGTGTCACTCATAGAAAGATCATAGGCTGAAACTAGAGAAATTGACATCCCATTCTCTTCCCGTTCACTGAGAAAAGCCCGTCTTCAGCCCCTCTTACCTAAAGACTCAGGAGACAAGCATGAAACTGGTGGAAGGCTCCCAGTGATGACTTGCCCTCATGGTGCCCTTGGGCTTTGCTGGTACAAACCCCAAGAAATAAACCATGCATATATAGTCAACTAATTTTTGAGTCCAGAGGGACTGACCCTCATCCAGCCTAGCCACTGTCTTTCAGGAAAGCTTCCCACAGGCTTTGGGTGGTTATCTAGGGTACTGCTCTTCCAAAGGCCTCAAAATTCCCTGAAACTTCATAGAACAGAGTGCGTGTGAGTGTGTGTCTCTGTGTGTGTGTATATACACACATTTTCCTGGGGAGGCAGTCTTTGCTTCATCAAATTTTCAATAGGATTCTTGCCCCAAGAAAAGTCAAGAACTACCATGCTTTCAGAAGAGCAGGATGTTGTGCAGATCCTGGATCCCTCTAACCATCCCTTGCAGAATTCTTACCTGTCCTATAGATAGGGGTCTGGCCAGCCCTGCAGTCTGGCGGCTCTGACACACATCTGTCCCTGCCTTCACTGTCCTCCGGGTGGGAGCTGTCCAGGAAGGCAGAGCTGTGCTGGGAGACCTTGGGGGCCTGGCAGGATGATTGGGGGTACATGGTTCTTCATTGGATATTCTGGGGCAGAAAGAGGTTATATATGCCAGATTGGAATATAATTGAATTTAGGTTAATTCCAAGAACATTTGCTTCCTATGTGAGGACAAAAGACGGCAGCAGGCTCTCTGTGGCCTGCCAGCTGTACTGGGCTGATGCTCTGTCAGAGTGTGGGACTCTGGAAGCCTGGTATGTGCTCATGATGCTCTCTCTACCTCTCCACCATGCTCTCAGCCCATGGGCATCATGTCCATCCTGGAGGAGGAGTGCATGTTCCCCAAGGCCACAGACACGACCTTCAAGGCCAAACTGTACGACAACCACCTGGGCAAATCCAACAACTTCCAGAAGCCTCGCAATGTCAAGGGGAAGCAGGAAGCCCACTTCTCCCTGGTCCACTATGCTGGCACCGTGGACTACAACATCCAGGGCTGGCTGGAGAAGAACAAAGACCCACTGAATGAGACCGTGGTGGGCTTGTACCAGAAGTCCTCCCTCAAGCTCCTGGCCACACTCTTCTCTTCATATGCAGGCGCTGATGCTGGTAAGGGCAGCCTCTGCACTGGGCCAGAGCACTTGAGGAGGTACAAGGTACCAGGGTCCCACTGTTTCAAAGTTCATGACCCTAAAGGTGGGAAGGAGCCTGTGAGTCATGGGTTGTGGGCCAGAAGGTCCCACAGTAGTCCATCTGTACCCCTTCTGTGAAAAAGGCATGTTCCACTTTGTGTTATGGATATCAGTGTACGTGGTCATGTGTCATCTTAAGACTGTGAGCACCTGATGTCAGTGAGCGTAGCACACACATAATTTAACCAAGCCCACCACTAGAGTGTGCCCGCAGGATGTTTCAGTAAACTCTGAGAGGATCACTGAACAAATGAGCCTCCAGGTCAGAAAAGGAAGAGGAAGGGTGAGGACTGAAATGTGGAGGATGGCCCTAACCGGTTTGGCTCAATGGATAGAGCGTCAGCCTGTGGACTTAAGGGTCCCAGGTTCAATTCCAGTCAAGGGCATGTACCTTGGTTGCGGGCACATACCTTGGTTGTGGGCACATACCCAGCAGGGAGTGTGCAGGAGGCAGCTGATTGATGTTTCTATCTCTCTATCCCTCTCCCTTCCTCTCTGTAGAAAAATCAATAAAATATATATTTTTTAAAAATGTGGAGGATGAAATACCAGAAAAAAAGTAGAAAGTGGGAAGATGTAAGCATGGAGGGTAGGGTTAGAAGAGGGTGGGAGAAGAGAGCTGATACTATTTCCGCACCTGCTATGTGGCAAGCACTGGTGACAAGCTTAGATGCTGATCTTACCTAATCTTCACACCTTTAGAGGTAGTTACTATCCTCCTCACCAAGAAACTGAGACTTGGACATGAGAAGTCACACAGCTAGTGAGGCAGTCCTGCCCCTGCCTGAGGGCTCCTCTGTTTAAAGCTCTTGGTCATCATTCCTTCTCTTCTTTTTAGCGGAGAGCAGTAAAAGCAAAGGAAGCAAGAAAAAGGGCTCATCCTTTCAGACAGTGTCAGCCGTCCACAGGGTAAGGAGGCCCCAGAGACCTATGGTGGGCAGGCCCAGCCCAGAGCCTTGGGTGCACCACCCTAACCTGATGCTCTAAGTTTGGGGAAGAAAGAAGCACAAGCTGATTGATCATTTTGGCATGTAAATTCTACACAAGCTTTAACTCGTCATAAATTATGTGTCAACTCCTTATCCTTTTTGAGGGTTCTGGTGGCAGGCTGCCTGGGGCCCAGGGCTCAGAGACCAAAGGGATGGTTCCTGTGGCTCCTGACTCCCTCCCCTCACCCACCCCCAGGAGAATCTGAACAAGCTGATGACCAACCTGAAGACCACCCACCCTCACTTCGTGCGGTGCATCATCCCCAATGAACGGAAGGCTCCAGGTGAGCCATGTGGAAGAGTCTAGTCCGGGAAAGGCACTTGGCTCATTTGCCCTGAGGCTGACCCCTCTCTTCTCTCCACCGCTGCAGGGGTGATGGACAACCCCCTGGTCATGCACCAGCTGCGTTGCAATGGCGTGCTGGAGGGCATCCGCATCTGCAGGAAGGGCTTCCCCAACCGCATCCTCTATGGGGACTTCCGGCAGAGGTGGGTACAGGGGACAGGGGGAGCCCAGGTGGTCTTTGTGGGGAATGGAATCTGCAGGTGGCCCCAAATCCTGTGGGAAGAGCTGCCCAGTGCAGAACGTGGATGACTTTGGGCATCTCCCTCCCAGGTATCGCATCCTGAACCCAGCGGCCATCCCTGAAGGGCAGTTCATTGACAGCAGAAAAGGGGCAGAGAAGCTGCTAGGTTCCCTGGACATTGACCACAACCAGTACAAGTTTGGCCACACCAAGGTGAGTGTAGCACTCCACAGGGTGGACTTGCAGGGCTTGCAGCCATGTTGAGCAGAGCAGCTGGGGGTTTGGAAGGCAGACCCCTGATTCCTGGCTTCCTGTATCCTGAAGCTAGGTTTCCTTTCTCTCTTGTCTTCCACATTTCACTCCCAGGTCTAGAATGAGCAGGTAATGGGTCCCCTGGGAACTCAGCCAGGGTCTCCCACCCTCTTCCTCCATCCTGGATACCCTTCTCTGAGGCTGCGACCCCCTTGGATCTCCCCCTTGTCCGCAGGTGTTCTTCAAGGCGGGGCTGCTGGGGCTGCTGGAGGAGATGCGAGATGAGAGGCTGAGCCGCATCATCACCCGAATTCAAGCCCAGGCCCGGGGCCAGCTCATGCGCACTGAGTTCAAGAAGATCGTGGAGCGCAGGTGAGGCACAAGGGAAAGGAGAGACGTTCCCAGAGATGTAAGAGGCAGACAAGTAGTTCTGACTGGCTTGGGTTGGAAGACCTGAGTTCAAATCCTGACTCTATCACTTATTATCTGGTCTGGGCAAATGACTTTACCACTCAGGACCTCATTTTGAAATCTTTTTTTGTTAATCCTCACTCGAGGATATTTTTTCCATTGATTTTTTTTTAGAGAGAGTGGAATGGAGGAGAGAGAGAGAGAGAGAGGTGTGAGAGAGAAATATCAATGCTTGCCTCCCACATGCACCCTGGTCAGCAGGTCAGGAGATTAAACCCATGACCCCTGGGTGCTCAAGCTGGCACTCTAACCACTGAGAAGACTGGCCAGAGCTCATTTTGGAGTTTTTTTGAAGTTTTTTTCATAGGAAAATGCTAATTAGAGACTCATGAGATACCATTTAAATACACTAGATTTACAAAAATCAGGAAGTGTGTGATTCACCGCTTACAGATGTGTAAATTAGTGCAACCTCTTTGGAAAACAATTTACCATCTTTGAACGATTGTATACCTTTCAATTCCACTCCTGAGTGCATGCCCACAGAGAAACTCCTGCATGTGTACAAGACAACAAAAGAATCTTCATCACAGCATTGGTAAAAATAGCAAAGATCTGGAAACAGCTCAATTTTCTATCCACAAAGAAATGGGTAAATAGTATAGTCATTTGGTGGAATATTATACAGCAACGAAAAGGGGAACTATAATTACATGGCGCAATATGTTCAAACCTTAAAAGCATATTGTTGAGTAGACAAATGCATGTCACAGAAAGATACTTATAGTGTGACACAATTTTCATAAAGCTCAGAAATAATAAAATAGTGGCATATTATTTAAAGATACATACACATATAGTTAAAATATTTTTTAAAAGCTAAGAAAAGAAAACCACAAGATTCAGAGTAGTGGCTAGTGGAGGGATCAGGAAAGAGGCAGGGAAGGAGCACACAGGTGGAGTCACTGTGGCAATGCTCTAGTTCTTGTTTGGGTGATAGGTTCATAGGTAGCCATTTTCTTGCATGTTTCATAACATAAATTATAGATATCCCTATATCCTATATAATAAAGAGCTAATATGCTGATTAAACCATACGGCGGAACAACCTTCCAGAATGGCCAGTGAGCAGGGCCACGGGGCTGTGAGGCAGCTGGGGCTGCAAAAGCCAAGGCAGCCAGGGCTGCAAGAGCTGAGCCCTTGCACAAATTTCGTGCATCAGGCCTCTAGTGTAAAATATAATTTTTAACATATTTGAGTTTTTTATAACATGAAACATAGTAAACACTCTATAAGCAGTAGCTTTCATTACTACTAAGGCCCCAGTGGGAAAAAATATAAACTGCTGTTGTCTTTATTTTATCAGTTAATAAATGTTTATTGAACAACTCCATGTCCGGTGTAGTAATGTTTAGGTGGGGGTATTTATCAAGGCCACAAGAAAGGTTTCTGCCCAAAGGTGCCTACCAACTTGCTTAGATGGACTGGGAGCCAAATACAGTTTGGGAATGCTCTTTCATGGTGCCCCTTCTTTCCTCTATGCTTCTTTGTCAGGGATGCCCTTCTGGTAATCCAGTGGAACATTCGGGCCTTCATGGGGGTCAAGAACTGGCCCTGGATGAAACTGTACTTTAAGATCAAGCCTCTGCTGAAGAGCGCAGAGACAGAGAAGGAGATGGCCAACATGAAGGAGGAGTTTGGACGCATCAAAGAAGCGCTGGAGAAGTCTGATGCTCGCCGCAAGGAGCTGGAGGAGAAGATGGTGTCCCTGCTGCAGGAGAAGAATGACCTACAGCTCCAAGTGCAGGCGGTGAGACCACATGCTTGTCTCTTCACCTCTCTTCTCCCTCCCCTAGATTATAGCCCATCTCATCGTCAGGGACTAAGACCCCGGATCTCTACTATCTTTAATCACCAGCTCTTCTCTCTGTCCTCTTCTTCCAGGAACAAGACAACCTCAATGATGCAGAAGAGCGCTGTGACCAGCTGATCAAGAACAAGATCCAGCTGGAGGCCAAGGTGAAGGAGATGACTGAGAGGATGGAGGACGAGGAAGAGATGAACGCTGAGCTCACTGCCAAGAAGCGTAAGCTGGAAGACGAATGCTCTGAGCTCAAGAAGGACATTGATGACCTGGAACTGACATTGGCCAAGGTGGAGAAAGAGAAGCACGCAACAGAGAACAAGGTAAGGGCAGCTCCCTCTGGTGCCAGCCCAGGTCTCCTCAGGATTCAAAGACCACACTGACCTAACCAACACCAGGCCACTCAGGGATCCTGATAACACTGTGGTCCTTGGCATTGGAGATGTATCCAATAGATGTCTCCAAGCTGATGACCTTTGACCCTAAAAGGGATGGGGTTCTTGGTTGACAGGTGAAGAACCTGACAGAGGAGATGGCTGGGCTGGACGAAATCATCGTCAAACTGACCAAGGAGAAGAAAGCTCTGCAAGAGGCCCACCAGCAGGCCCTGGATGACCTTCAGGCTGAAGAGGACAAGGTCAACACACTGACCAAGTCTAAGGTCAAGCTGGAGCAGCAGGTGGATGATGTGAGTAATAAAAACTCTGCTCGATCTTTCTCAGGTCAGGATTTTGTAGGCAACACCAGTGGCCAAAGAGTTCCTGATCCATAGGGCTAACTTCTTTACCCCGGGGGCCTTTTTGTTCTCTGTAGTTCCTCCCTAGTCCGGGTCTCTGAATCCTTTGTGCTTGCAGGAATTGCTCTGCTGGATTTGACTTCCAATCCACTGGACTTTGAGTTTAGAGGAGAGCACTGTGGATCTCAGGTTATTTACACCCTGTTTGTTTTCTTTTCTCCATCAGCTGGAGGGATCCCTGGAGCAGGAGAAGAAAGTGCGCATGGACCTGGAACGAGCAAAGCGGAAGCTGGAGGGTGACCTGAAGCTGACCCAAGAGAGCATCATGGACCTGGAGAATGACAAGCTGCAGCTGGAAGAAAAGCTCAAGAAGTAGGAGCCTACAGTGGCCAGGAGGGGCTAGTGGAGGTGTCTGGCCAGAGGGTTAGAGCTGCAGGTGCTGCACTCCCACTGGCCAGGTTGCTTTGGGTACAGTGGAAATGGGCTGTAATTCACAGCCCTCTCTCCTTCACCCTTTTGGTCAGGAGGGGTGGGGGGACTGGTGCTAGTATGTTGATGCAAGAGAAAAGAGAATGGGCATAGAGAAAGGAAGACCACCTGTCACCCTGCTTCTCCTCCAGGAAGGAGTTTGACATTAGTCAGCAGAACAGTAAGATCGAGGATGAGCAGGCACTGGCCCTTCAGCTGCAGAAGAAACTGAAGGAAAACCAGGTAAAGTTCTCCCCAGTGCAAGCAAGGGCTGCTCAACAGCCCTGAGGCAGCTATGGCCTTAGAGATGCTCAGGTTGTACACATATCTATAACTCCAGGCCACTCCAAAGGCCCCACCAGTCCTGATTTACAGGCTCTTGGAAACACCAGCCTTCTCCCATTAGAACAGTAATGTGCTATTGCAGCAAGACTATTTTGTGTGTGGAGGTAGAGTGGGAGGAATCATACCTACAAAAAAGGGCTTCTCTAACTGAACTATGCTCTGCCTGGTGCGTTTTCTGCTCTGGGGAAAAAGCTAGGGTTCAATTCTCCTCTAACCCTTTGCGGGAGGGGGGGGGGTACTTCTCTCCTGCATGGGATGAGAAGTGCTTTCATGGAGCACCCACCTTCCCATAAGCTGCTCTATTCATATTCTTCCTGGGTACTGACCACAGTCACTAGCCCAGGCTGCATTCCCATAGGGTACCCATGATATGGGATGAACTCCTACAACCCTGAGCAAGTCACTTCCACTCAGAGCCACAGTCTCTTATCAGTCAAATAGGACTAATAACCCCTGGCTTATAGAGAACCAGAGGGAACAGTATATATGGAAACCACTCTGTCAACTAGAAGTCAGCCAGCCAACTAGCAAGGCCGGCTTCTTTTTTTCCCCCCATGGCCTTCTCATCCCTCTGCAGGAGATAAATTAATACCCAGTCTCTCTTACCTTTAATGCACCCTGAATTTCGATGTGCCTTTAGTCCTGGTTTGTCAGAGCCCTGGAAACAAAACAGCAGGTACTCTCATTCCTGTTTTATAACTGCAGAAGCTGCCTGGCTTGCTCTGGACATAGTAGCCCCATGGGCAACAGGCACTCAGCTACTGGGGCAGGGCCTTAACTCTCATTTTCTGGTCAGATGGAAGCTACTGGAAATAGCTGGTCTTTCCTCAGCATTTGGGGCCCATGGCCCAGGCTGCAAGTGACACATGAACACAATCCCACTCCTCTGGGGGCTGCTCAGAGGCTGGCCTGCCATCAGTGATAATTTGCCCTCCTGCCTTCTTGGTTGCCCTGTTGGGTTTTAGCCAGAAAATCAGGATATCCTCAGGTCTTCCTGCCATGGGTTTGGGCAACTTTTTTGACTCATGGACCCAGAAAAATACTACTGTTATCTTCATCAGGTCTTGGCAACAGGCTCCTCCTTCCTGTCCAAGCTCTGGCACACAGCCCCACCTTCTCCATCCTGGGAGCAGAGGCATGGTGGTCTTCTCTCTCCTGCTCCCAGGACCTACCCACGCACATTCCATTAAGACTGTCCATAACCACAGATGAAGGCATCCACCAATCCTCCCCTTCCTGGCTAGTCAGATCAAAATGGTAGATGAGAGATTATTTCCATTTACTCAAAGCCAAGACTAAGGCCAGAAAAATGAGGTAGAGGTAGAGGAGGACACTCAGCTGGCCTGAAAGGGAACAATAAAACTGGAACCCAGCCCTGGGTATAAAAAAGCAAGCCTTGCAGAGAGAAATATGGTTGACTGGACTTTGTGGTCAACTTGGAAGATAGCGAAAGCTTTTGATTGTTGTGAGGCATATTGTTGCAAATATTTGTAAAATACAAGCACCTGCTTTCCTGCTTATGTTCAGGAGAGCAGAGCCTACTGCATCTGTGGAAGCTATGGAATGTGAGATCTCATGAGATCTAGAGATCCCTTCAAACACATATTCTCAAGATTTAGGCAGATTCTCAGACTGGGTCTGAGATGGCCCTGGGAGGGGCCTTGAAGTTTTGGCTTCAACCAAATTCCTATTGACGGCGTATGCAATATAAGATGTTTCACAGCAGCCCTGACTTCCGCCCCCTAGATGCTAGTAGCAATCTCCTTCCCCAGTCATGAGAGTCAAAAATCTCTCCCGACATTGCTGACTGACCACTAGCGAACCACTGTTCTGCAGGACCTGAGTGCTTGGGTCAGGAGTCTTCTAGAGCTGAGGGAGGGGGCTCCCATGGAGGGCTCCAGGCAGTGGGTCTGAGCCCTTTGTGTCTGGGCCCAGGCACGCATCGAGGAGCTGGAGGAGGAGCTGGAGGCTGAACGCACTGCCAGGGCCAAGGTAGAGAAGCTGCGCTGCGCAAGAAGCACGCTGACAGTGTGGCCGAGCTGGGCGAGCAGATTGACAACCTGCAGCGTGTGAAGCAGAAGCTGGAGAAGGAGAAGAGCGAGTTCAAGCTGGAGCTGGACGACGTCACCTCCAACATGGAGCAGATCATCAAGGCCAAGGTGGGCCTGTGCTTAGCCTCTCCTCGCCCTCCTCACCCTCACAGCTTGCACCTTCCTTCCACCTTCTCTATCTGCCATCTCTCTAGTCATCACTCCTCCATCACCCTTTGGGCTCTCTCTCCTTTGCACCTCCTTTGCCCTCCATCCATATCTTCATCTCCTCACCATTCTTCTCTTCTTTAACTCATGTACCCGCTTCCGATTGTGCCCCTCCAGCACCATCCATTTCATCCCCTTGCCCTCTATGCTCTCCCCATCTTGGCCCTCGCTTCCTTCCTCTGGTCCACCCAGCCCCTACTCCCTGACAACTCCAGCCCCTCCCACATCCCAACTCCCCTGTCCCTTTACTGCCTGAAGGCAAACCTGGAGAAGGTGTCTCGGACGTTGGAGGACCAGGCCAACGAGTACCGCACTAAGCTGGAAGAAGCCCAACGCTCCCTCAACGATTTCACCACCCAGCAAGCCAAGCTACAGACTGAGAATGGTGGGTGTTCCTAACCAGCCCTGTGCTTACCCCAGAATAAGCCATCAGTTGCCCTTTTTTATGGCCCACAAACCCATATTCCCACCTCTAGGTGAGCTGTCTCGGCAACTGGAAGAAAAGGAAGCGCTGATCTCCCAGCTGACCCGAGGGAAGCTATCCTACACCCAGCAAATGGAGGACCTCAAGAGGCAGCTGGAGGAGGAGGGCAAGGTGAGGCCCAGCTGGGGGGCAGCAGGACAGCGGCAGCCCTGGCGCAGTGAGCGTCAACACCAGAAATGGAGACTGAAGAGAGGCCCTGTGTGGGAAGACCTCCAGTCTAGGTTCTTCTACTCTTCAGCTCAGCCACATTTACATCATCAAATACCTCTTTTCTTATATGTGAAGGGGTAGGGTGGGCAAGCTGGGAAGCTACTCCAGGATGTTGAGATTCTACACCCTGAATGTGGCTGGGCTTAGTTGAAGTTTGTAGATATGTAAAGGATTTGGGGGGGCGGGGCATTCCCTCTCACCTTCCTGAAAGCTGAGTCCACCTCCTGGCGTTCACTTCCCAGGCAAAGAATGCCCTGGCCCACGCGCTACAGTCAGCCCGGCATGACTGCGACCTGCTCCGGGAGCAGTATGAGGAGGAGACAGAGGCCAAGGCAGAGCTGCAGCGCGTCCTGTCCAAGGCCAACTCGGAGGTGGCCCAGTGGAGGACCAAGTATGAGACAGACGCCATCCAGCGGACCGAGGAGCTCGAGGAGGCCAAGTGAGTCCCAGGCAGCCTCCACATTGAATCTAAGAGAGGAAGAAGCCAGAGCACATGGGGTGGGACAGGCGAAGTGGGAATGGGAAGGAGATTTGAGGTAGAAGAGGGAGGAGGGTGTGAGAAATGTGGTGGAAAATAGAGGTGCTTGGATCCTGCACTCTGAGTGAACCCCGACTGCCACTGACTCACTTCCTATGACAGGCGAGCTTTTGGCCCGGGTTATACCTGATTCTCACGTATAAGACGAGCAAAAAGCTTGTTGGTCAGAGGAGCTACCATCGGTCAGCCTGGCATGGGACCGGAGGGGTGGGGCTGCCACCCAGATGGTGCTGCATGGGGGACGAAACTGTTCTAGGCACCCGTAGCCTTG